TTTTTTTGTATCTGGTCTCAACCATAGACTAGGGGGGTCCGGCGTTTTGGGAACGCCGGACCCCCAAAAGCAAAAAATTCTGACCGGATTTTGGCAAAAAAAATCAGTTTTGATTTCGTTCAAAAAATATAATATGTCCGTTTTGACGAAATGGCTGTTAAACTGCTTCGTCATTTCTGCATTGTTGGGGGACATTTGGCTTGGTGGCTGTTGGAAACGGTATGATTGGGACATGACCGTACCTGGCGTATCACCGTAATGGTGGAGTGCATGATGGGTTCGTCGTGGGATCATTTGCAACACACACATGGAGGGTTTTTCCCTCTAGCTACTGCCAAAGGGTTGACTTCCTTGGCTACGCCTTGGAGACGGATCAGACCAATGGTCGATTACTGTAGTCCGTCCACCTGGTTGCCCTGATAATCCACCCGTATATGCAAATGGGATGGCGTACTTACCAGGATGCTTTTGCTCTTGTCGGTTTTGGTCTACGGGGTACGAATTGTTGTATGGATTTGTAATAAATTATGCTCCCTGTCTTCTCTGCTCACTTTCTTTCCGCTCCTTTCTTCTTTTCTCTTGTCTTTTGTTTTCTTCCCTACCCCTTTGTATGTCTCATGGGCTAATCCCGACCAGAAACCTTATCATGACAAGGACCTTGTTGGTGGCTGGTGGGCTGAAACCATCGATAGGAATCCCTTCCTCGCGGATCTGGGTCCATGCTCTAAACCTACCCAATCCCTCATTAACGTTATCCACCCTTCGGTAACATCTATGGTCGGCCGAAAGGTTACGGACAGATCATTTCCTCTCATCACTGAGACCTTTCTTTTTAATGATTGGGCGGATCTGGCTTGGACCTATGAACATGAGAGACACCGTTTGGACCTCATCTTAAACGGGCATGTTACTAAGGCGGAGGAAAAAAAGAGAAACGCAATGAAGGAACGAGATGGGCTCTTGGAGAGAACCACGAAACTTGAAGAGACTCTAAAGAAGATCTGGGATATTGAGAGGGAGTCGGTGGTGGAGAATAAGAAAATGGACGGGGATGGCTATGACCCAACACTCATGGGGATCATGGGGGATGAGGAGGAGGAGCTGAGACTGCTACTGGACAACCAGCCCCCACCGCCACCTCCACCAAGGGGCGAGGGGATGGATGGTGGGCGGAACAGGAACAATGGTTTTATCCCTATCGCTTCAGCCCAGTGGGTGGAGGATAAAGCTAAACGTCAGCAGGATAGGGTTTGGGTACAGGGTGGTTTCAATTACCTGGCCCCTATCAACATCAAGGGCTGGAAGTTCCTCGCGGATCTCTCAAAGAACGAGGTTGAGGAGTGTTGGAGGAAGGCCCTGGCCGGGATTTTGGACTATGCTAACAACACCCCGCACTTCGGTGGGAAACTTACCTTCCCTATGCTGAGTGAGCTGGATCCCACTAAGTGCATCTACACTAACCCTGTGGTCATGCAGAAGATGATTACTTCGTCCCTCAACCTTGATATCAGGAATCTACGCAAAGTTTGGAACGTGGGGCGCCCGTACCTGAAATGTAGATGTGGGTTTAGGAATGCTCGTACATGTAATGGTGGACCAATCTGGTTCGACCATGCTATCTGGTTCCTCCTGGCGAAGCCGGAGATTGTGAAACCAGAAGCCGGTTCGAATCGGGTTAGGATCGCCTTCCTCCTCCATCACCTGAGGAACTTCTGGAGAGAGCTTGCCAAAGCCTCCGTCATATTCATATGGATGCGCGAGGTGATGCTGATGGTGCTATGTAATCTCAAACGCAATCCGGAGTTAATGACTGCGGATGCCCTCACCGGGAGTACGTTCAAAACCCATGCCTGCCCGAAAATCATGGCCAACCTGATCCTCCCCACTCGGATCACCCCGGGACTTCCTGCTCCGAAACTCCCGAACCTCGAGAAGAGGAAGAACAGATCCCCTATGGGGGCCAGAAATAAAAGGGTCAACTCTGCATCTCCCCGACAGCACACCTTGTTGAATACGTTCAGAATCGCACCATCTCCCGTTGGCGCCTCTTCTTCAAGTCCCGCTAGCATGACCAGCAGTCAGCGATCTGCAATCGTAACTGAAAGCCACGTAAGCGGCACCGCGGACACGAGCAACTTGACCAGGAAGCGCAAGAACCAGTTCTAGGTAATTCAACGAATAGCTAAGGTAGATAGGGAGAGAGATACATATACACACACACATATATATATATGTATATATACATATATATATATATATATATATATTTATACACGCTCACACACACATGAATATATATATATATATATATATATATATATATATATATATATATATATATATATATATATATATATGAGGATGCTTCTGTATGGATCTCACTCTTTCTCCCCCACACTCTCTCTCGTTCTCCCCCTTTCCAACAGATGTCGAATTTCCTGGAGTCCTCTGAAGGTGATATTCGAGAGCTTGCTTACCAACTGATTGCACCCGAAAGGGAATTGGAGAATCTCTACGATGTCCTTATCGAAAGAAGCAACCTGATCTTCATTACTATCCTACGGGAGGAAGAGGAGGAGACAGTAGGGTTTTCACAATCGGACTCCAACCCACGTATCTGGGTTGGGCATATCTTACGCAGACTCAAGTCCCGACACAACGCGGTTATTGACAGTTTTGTGAAACTTCAGCGGATGCATAGGGCAGTCCTCTTTGCGGACATGGACGCTTGGAACCAACACAGGATGTTTCTAAAAGAAAGGATTATAGGACTGACTACCCAGAACGCCCGATTAAGGAGGTCTCTCCTTGCCTTCACCCTCTCGACGCTCGCCCTATGCTTTGCTAAGACTTTGTTGATCATAGGTAGTTAGGATCTAATGACTACTCGCATGCGTGGCTGCAGGTCTGAAAGCCAGAGACTCTCAGTGCTGGAGAAGCTGTACTTTGCAGAACGGGTCTCAGCACAGGAGTAGCCACACTTTGCGTATCAGGATCTGGGACAATTTCCAGTTGTCCCTCTTCAAGTCCCAATGGCGCTGGAACTGGGCAGGCGGATTCCAAAGATACTCCGTGTAGAATATGATCCGGACATCTTCCTACCTTGGCCTCCTGCTGGACCAACTGTGGTCAAGATTGTCCGACCAAACATATGAGAGGCCCAGAGAAGTTCTGCGCAACCGGCTATAGCCATGGATAACCTTGCATTGGCCGACATCCTAAATGCACAACCACATATAACGACTATCGCCGGCATCGTGCTGGCGGTGGAGTACAAAGGCGAGATCATCGGGGAGATTCCTAGCTTTGGCACTAGAACAGAGGAAGGGAGAATCGGCTGCGATACTAGACTCAGGGGTGTCTCCAGCGATGATGCCTTCCCTGGTAAACAGACAGGGGTACTCTGGCCAGCAATGAGAATTGCTATGGGGGAGATAGCCTCCTCCGTGGTTACTACGCTGGACTTCGGTGATGACACAGGGGGAGCGAGCTTTTATGGCTTCGGCGGACTTTTTGGACCAGATTCGGATCATTGAGGGACTATTACCAGGGTGGGTGGTATTCTTTTTGCCGAACAAAGACCCTGTGACACTCGCTCTAACGAAACTCCGGAGAGATCACTGAAGCATCCACCAATGTTGCTAATGATATGCTTATTGTAGCAAGGGAAGTTGGTGCAAGTAACCTGGCCATCAACGCAGCCTTCTGCGGAAGAGCTGCCTAGCTAGTTGATGACGCCCTAATAAGGATTGCTTCCTGCTTGCGCTATTAAGTCTGATCTGCTCTCTTATCATTAGTGTAACCTACTCCCCGATTTTTTTTATTTTATTTTATTTTTCCCTTTTTTTCCTTTTTTCCCCTCTCTCTCTCCCCCCCCTCTTCTCCTCTTTTCCGACTGCTTCCCTTCTCTCTTCTCTCCCACAGCTATCTCTTTCCCCACCTTCTCTCTTTTCCTTCCTTCCCTCTCCTTCTCATTTCGGTTCGTTCTTTCCCTCACACAATAAACCGTAGGTATGGATACATCAATGGATAGGGGCCTTGACCTATCAGCAACACTATTTTGTACGACTATGTGTTGCAGGAGTGTGTGGGCCACGTCGGTATGAGTCTCTCTGGTAGGAGGAAGTGGTGCAGAATAGATGAAGGACCACGGAGGAAGTTTGTACATATGAGATATGCCAATAGACTAATGGAGGCAATCTCGGTAAAATCACTAATCATCTCCCTGATGGTAGTGGCTGTTGGCCAGCATTTTGCGTCTTGGATGAAGACCGTGACCTTCGGCTGGATCTACAATGACCCGGTCTCCAAGGCACTATATAGACCAACGAAGGTTTTTCGTGACTTCAACTTGGATAACTGGCAGAGGTACAAAGGCAACTGTACCTGTAACAGTAGATATGTAAGGTGCATCGAGCCAGCCACTGAGCTCTTACTGGAGGAAGGGAAGATTGAGAGTTTCTCGGACCCTCATGTTGTCACCACGGACTACTCCATCTCTCGCCTCCAGCAACTCAGACTCATCTTGACATATGAACTGAACCATATTCTCACCGCCAATCTGGATGTTGAAGCTGCAGTCGGAAAAATCCCCCATTATGTGTGCTTGATAATACGTTGACACTATACAGCAGGAAATATGAGTTTGCAGAGGAGGAGATGAGTAAGGTTAGGAATAGAATGAGACGTTACTGTTTCGTCATGATAGATTTGTAGAATATAAGCGTAGGCACGGTGAGGTTGATACTATGGATATTAACGAACACTATCTGAAGCATGAGATTGATTACAGCACGAAGTATTTTTTTATTGCTTGTATGGACAAAGCATCCAGCACCCCGGTCATCCTATGTAAATATTTTGCTAGGCAGTTAGCATTCGAAAGGCTGTCGGGACCGGATTTTGAATTCCTGGAACCAGACTCCAACGAGATGATCCGAGTCATGAGTAGGGACAACAGTTTGAACTACCCAATGGGACCTGAGAAAATCCCATACCTGATGGCTAACTATAAGAGTCATAAGAAAACTTTGAGATGGATGACGAATGCTGGTCAATGCATGTTCTCACTCATTGCTGTAATCTGTGCTGATGCTCTTGGATTAATTAGTATCGAGATGCATAAAATTTGTGTGGAGAAGTCTCACGTGCTGAAAAACTTGCACGGCATCAACGCAAACCTTTGGTGGCCGATTGATTCCATCAACGAGTATTGCCTAAATCTACCAACTGCAGTCTTTTCGTTCTTTTCAGCGGATATCAGTTGGTGCTTTCAACCAATCCCCACGGATGATTCAACACATGGGTTGATCTCTGCGCTCTCTTTCTCTATCAGGAAAGACTTTGCTCACAGATTGAGAACTAAAGGTGATAAACACATTAAGGTCGGTATACTGGATAATGGCAAGATAAGGGTTGGATCATGCGAAACCAAACGAGAGGTTGATTGACCCTAACCAACTCGTTGAAATGAATCAATGGCTGACGGATAGAAATTACATCCAGTTCGGGGGGAAGGTGTGGAGACAAAAAAATGGTATTCCAATGGGATTACCGTGCTCCCCGATCTGGTGCAATTTATACTTCTTTCGGTATGAGTATGGTTGTATGATGAGATTGATCGAAACCGGGAACAAGCATCTAGAAGTATTGTTCTCCCACACTTTCAGATATATGGACGATCTGAATGCTCTTAATAATACCTGCATCCGGGATTTCCTCTTGAAAGATCACCCTCGCGATGACAATGATCCGATATGGCTATACCCGTCGGATTTCATCGAGATCAAGGAGCAAAGTATCGAGGATAGAAAATGCACATTCTTAAACCTCAGACTCACAGTGAGTACACCAGATGGGGGATACAACACCGAGAAATTTGATAAGGTGGAGGAGATGGGTCTGAAAGTCAATCGGTATATCAGGTACAGATCAAACAGACCTATTAAACAATCCTTGTCCATCATCCTGGGGCAAACGGCCTCGGTGTTCATTATCACATCCAACCCCCAAAAAGTTGCAGTGGACATTGTGAAAATTGTGAACAGAATGTGTCACAATGGTTTTAACAAAAGAAGATGTTGGGGAATGGTCAGAAGGGTACTCAAAAACCCGGAAGGATTTCAACCATTCAGATGTACAGCTAAGGAAGTGCATGATATCCTCAGGAAATCCTTCGGGATGGTACACTAACTTTGCGATGCTGTCTGAGTGGGTCGTGTGTGGATGTGCGATTTGACCTCGGGCTCTCTGGAAACAGAGGAACCAGAACTGCCATTTCGTCAAAATGGACATCTTTTATTTTTTAAACGAAATTGAAACCGAGTTTTTTGGTCCAAACCTCGTCAAAATTTGTTGTTCCTGAGGGTCCGGCGTTCGTAAAACGCTGGACCCCCTGGCTGTACATGGACCAAGCTTGAAACCAGGTACCTCCACGGAGTCCTGCCTGGAGGTGCCTGGTCTCAAGGTAGGTCCATGTACAGCCAAGGGGTCCATCGTTCGTAAAACGCTCGACCTTCAGGAACAACAAATTTTGACGAGTTTTCGGCCAAAAAACTCGGTTTCAATTTCGTTCAAAAAACAAAAAATGTCCATTTTTACGAAATGGTCGTTCCAGGGTAGGTATCTACAAGGGGACCTGTCTGGGACAGGTACCCCTACACGTACCTGTCCCTACCATATCCCCTTGCGGGGGCAGTGGATGGGACAAACACACACACACACACACACACACACACACAGACACACACACACACACACACACACACACACACACACACACACACACACACACACGCATATACAGGGTATAAACCAGACTTAGGAGGAGATCAGCATTTCCGCTACGTTGCCACTTGTACGCACCTTCGTACGAGTACGAACTCGTACTCTTGTACTTGTATGCTACTCGTACGCTAGGGGCCCCGTACGAGGTTTTTTTTTTTTTTTTTTTTTTTAATCCGGT